AAGCTGGCCCACAATTACAAAGAGAAGCATCATATTTTTAATAGTTTTATAGCTCCAATTTGAGTAGATATTACATTGAAGGCTAAGATTGAACCCCCGAACTTTTTTCAATCTTTAAAATATTTAAGTGCTAGCCATATAATCATCTTATATTAATTTAACTGAACTACATCGCAACCTTCTGAAGGGATTGTTCATTAGGTATGGACATTATAGGTATTCACTCTAAGTCAGATCATGTTAAGAGATAAACATTCAACTATCATTCTCAGTAAAACAGAATCATTTGCATCCAAAACAAAAAAAAAGTATACAATTGATTGTGGATAATAGTTCTGCACATAAAGCCTGATCGTTTTTTGGATGCACAAAGAAACTTTAATCCATATAGTTGATAAGTGACCAATTAAAAATGTCAAAAAATAATAAAAGAAATTTTACACTTTGGCATAATATAACTATTTCTTGCAACCCTAGAAATGAAATATATTTTGGTATAAAAATTGCATCATTTTAAAAAACACACATATGCACACAAATTCTATACTTAGTGTAGCCGCTAACTAGCTGTATGTAGAATAGACACAATTACTCCAGTGTGATGTAAATGGCACTAAATACATTACTAAATAAAATATCACCCTCACTGAATCACTTGAAAGTCTGAAATTGCCCTTCTTAAGTGTTCCCATATTTTAGTTATATTGTCATATTATGTTACCTGCAAGGGGCAACCCTTTGCAAGTTAATATCATTGGAGAAATAGTTACCTAATCAACAACATAGGTATTCATTTTTTGTGTGGTATTGACAATAATAGTGCCTACCACTTGTCAAATGCCTGCTTTGCTCCCCAGTGAATACATATCGTGCCAGTGATTTAATGCATAAACTCACAAAAATGAATCTGTGTGTGTGTATGTGTATATGTGTTCCTTTTTCTGGGATTATAGCCTTTCTAATTTGCCCTGTCCTTTTCCATTTATCATGTGCGAGTGTGTGGGTGTTTGTGTGTGCGTGTGTACACACATATATTTGGATATGTATGTATAAATATGTATATAACATGTATATATACACTATCACTCAAAAAGGACATATATATATATATATATATATATATATGTATATATGGGTTACACACACACACACACACACACACATATATATAGTAACCCACACAGCAAATCTAAATTTGTAGTTACTATGTTCTAGATTTCATAAAGGAAGAGCAAGAGGCTTAAAATATTAAGGAACTTATGTATTGTAACCCAACTAAGAAATAGCAGATCTCAATTCCACATCATGTTTTACAGGTGTGTGAGATAGAGCCTTCAGATAGAATTATCTGTGAGTTATATAATATTTTTATCTTCAATTTCTAGTTAAATGCAATCCAAAATAAAATAATTATAGGCAGAGTGTAGTGGCTCATGCCTGTAATCCCAACACTTTGGGAGGCTGAGGTGGGTGGATCACCTGAGGTCAGGAGTTAGAGACCAGTTTGGCCAACATGGAGAAACCCTGAATCTACTAAAAGCACAAAAATTAGCCTGGAGTGTGGTGGGCACCTGTAATCTCAGCTACTCAGGAGGCTGAGCAGGAGAATTGCTTGAACCCAGGAGGAAGAGGTTACAGTGAGATTGCAACCTGGGTAACAAGAGCAAGACTCTGTCTCAAAGAAAAATATATATATAATCTGATAATCTATGTTACAATCTCATGACAATTTCTGACATTCTCTTAACCAACTGCTTAAGTATTTATTTACAACTGAGTTGCACTATGTTGTACTACATTACTTGAGTTAATGGGAAAAGAAAATCAGGGTACTATATATTAATTAATTAAATAATAAATATGAAAAACATATTAGAAATGATTGAGTCATAGATATAAGGTTGTACAAATATGGCAAACTTAATAAACCTTTATGTGTAAGTCAATATTACATTATTATTAGTACAAGCAATTAATTTCTGAAATTTTCATAAATTTTTTACATAAAATTAATATGTTAATTTGTAATTGTATTGGTTTGCAATTGATTTGTAATTAAATGACATTATTTAAAAGTATAAGAACTATTAGTATTAATAGTTTCTACTTAGTTTTAAAGGCACATATATTCAATACTATTTGAATGAAAATAATTTAAGCCAATTGAAGTGTCAGTGAGAGTTATTGTATTATAGGATGAATTAATTGTATTATAAGTTGGAATGATATATCACTCTTGTTTTAGAAACACTGAGGTGGGAATAGTTAAGTTTTTATGAAGTAAGAACATTAAGGGCTTAAAATACTCAGACAGATGGAGAATCTATTAAGTTAGAAATTGTGAGGTCACATGCATTTATCACGAGAGACCTCAAGATAATTCAGTATCAGAAAGGTGAAAAAATATAGTATCATGTACATTTACCACCTTCTTATTTTTCCTGAATGTTTTATCTGCACAACAGACTCCTCCACAATATGATAATTACCCCAAAACAGAGTAAATTCAAAATTCTGCTCATCTTTAGGGTACTTTGTCTCATAAAACTTAATTTTTTAGAAAAACACATCTTAAAATTTTAAATGATTTTCTTTTTTTAAAAAAAAGCAATAAAGTTGACTTCTAAACATATGGCAATCTAAAAAGAAAATAGGAATACATATTCATATAACTAGAGAAAGCCAAATATCAGAA